ACACACAGGAAAACTTTGCCTCAAATAAGAAGCACTAGGCTTGGTGTGAACAGGTCAATAAGAAAGTAATCTTAACGATCCCAACACTAAGATTAGCCTCTAAATGATAATATTATTACGTTATCTCACACCTAACACCAGATGTAAAACGTTGTAGCTGTCTTGTAAAGGTAAGATTTTTTAAATTTATTTAAAAAAAAGGTTTACAGAGGAAGTCAAGTCAATCCTGCTAAGAAAAACTGGAAAAAATGATAAAAAAAAGATATGTTTTTATTGTAATTTTACTAACACCTTGTAGCAATATAGAGCATTATGAATCCACTGACCCATCCATGGTGTGTAGAGGAACTAACAAAAACTATGTGAAATACAATGTACAAAACTACAGTAACAAATTGTTACAAATGGTATGGCTCCAAACACTGCAACAAATTATATTATTTATGCAATTTAAACCACACATTTGAAAGAAATGCAAAAAACTGTTTGTAGTTGTCATGATCTGCCCTAATAGCTCACCTTAATTACTCACCTGCTTAACTGTCTCCAGCTCCCAATTATCACTCATCTCATCCACCTGCAGGTTTCCCTCATATTGGGCTCAGTTCCAGCTATCAGGGCTGGTCATTGTTTGTTTGCTGTTTGTTCTCTTTTTGATTTCTGTCTCTCTGGTCACTCACTTTTGTTAATTTTATTTAGATCCAGGTTTATTGTCCCTATTCCAGTCAGGAGTTTATTCTTAAGCCAGTGTCTTCAGGCAAGTTATTTCCCTAACCAGTTGATGAGAGCTTTTCATACGGAAGAGGATTAGGGCCGGTGGAAAAGAAAAAAATGTTAACTGATTTTTAAATTTTATTTCAGTTTAGTACGGGGAAAAAAGTCAGAATTCTGACTTTTTTCCATTGTTAAACTGAAATAAAATTAAAAAATCAGTTAACTTTTTTTTTTTCAGTGGCCTTAATCCTCTTCCATACTTTCAGCATTTCCGTAGTGCAAAGGTCTTAAGGATACTTAAGGTACTGGATGGGGTCACAAAAGTTTTGGTTGATTACTTTTTTTTTCATATTCCACCATGCAATTTTTTCCACTAATTGAAATGTCTTTACATACACATTAACATAAATTCAACACACTGTAGTAAACAGATAAATTGAGGCAGAAGATGTCTTTAAGTTATCAATGCACACATTCAGCGACACACAGGAGCTCTTTCAAACTAGGCACCGTTTTATTCACAACACCTGTCCCATCAACTAGGAATCCGAAACAGAAATATTTTAATAATCCCAGTGCGAAATTACTTTTGTTACATTACTCCACATGTAATAGAGTTACCATAGGACCAGTTTGATATAACACAATTTCATACAATACATATAATTAGGGGGTCCCTGCTCCATCTTGCCATCAGTTTGGGGGTCCTTGCCCTGGAAAATGTTAAAGACCCCTGCTCTAGTGATTCTTTTTTCCTGATTCCATTCCCTCTCATCCACTGGCCCTGTCTGGTCTGCTCGCCTGACCCTCTGTTAGATTCCTGCTGGATTTTGCCTCCAAGGTGCACAGGACTCTAAACCTGTCCTCGTGCTCTGATGGATTCCTTGAACCTGGATCTGTCTGTTCCTGAGTGGTCTATACTTTGACTCACGCTATCATCTTCTGTTCAAATAATCGTGGTCACTTACCTGTGTTTCTCTCTATAGAATCAGTGATGGGTTGCGCTCCTCACCTGCAGTTGCTGCGGTTGCAGTTCCACAGCGGCACATTTCTGTTCTGTTTTTGTTTTAATAAACCTTTTGAACTTTGGCTGTCTCACCTTGAATACTGGGGTCCATCTGTCCAGTTTTATGACAGAAGTGGTCTTTATTTTTTGTTGCACATCCAATTATAATTGTATGAATATACTCTATTAGTGTAGATAATCAGTTATTAAATACCCTAGACATAAACTGGTTAACTATAAGCTGGACAAATCTGCAGGGGCCTTGAACGATATTCAGTTTAATCGTGTATTTAAAATCAGAAATGGAGTAGGTTTCAGTAGTTGTGTTCTTTAAGGCAGCATAATTTAAAGTAATGTTCTGCTACATTTTAAATATAAGAATTTTTTTTCTACAGTCTTTTAAGGACATTATTGACATAAAATGACAAAAATGCCCTGAAAATCCTATTGGCATCATGAAGTTTTCTAAAGCAGGACTTTTTAAATAAAAAACAAAAATACAATTCTATTCATCAGTCATTAAATGCTCTTCCAGAAGGAAGACTATCCAAACTATCAGCTCAAATTAACAGATGTTTTAAGAGACCAATCTATTACTAGTATTCCTCATCTTGTTAAGACCTAAGCAGTATGAGACCTGGACTCTAGACCAAACTAGAGGTCCTAAATAATCAGTCAAATATAATTCAAACAGAGCTTGTTTCCTCTGACAGCAGGCTCATAGTATGAAAGCTTTCCAAAACTTAGTGGGCAAAGAAAAATAACATCCAGTCCATCTGAAAACCTGTTTTTTTTTTCAGTTCAATTGCATAAGAGCTCTAATGTAGTGTAATTGAAATGGAAAAGCAAAGGACTTGTTGTTGTGTTTTATTGCAACTAATATACCAACAGTTTTAATCTAGGGTTAAAAGTGAAGTGAAAGAAAAACAAAATTCAAAAGAAATTAATTGGAAATTCCTGTCAAACTGAGCTGAGTCACTAACTTTTCTAACGTTGACCCACCTTAGCTGTAGTACTGCAAGCAGCAGTTCGGCTGAATAGAGTATTAAAGGCAGGACTACATATAATTGTAGTGCTGTGCATAAGAAAAATATTTCTTAACATAGAAGAGTTGGATTTCTCCCATTCTTAATAAATAATTGGATGAATAGTTGGATTTCTTCAAAAATATCCAGTATAAGATTATAATAAAGCAAAAAAAAAAAATATTTTTTTTTTAATGCATTTTGCACAAACTGATCGGGGCACTAAAACTCTTGCAGGTTGATGTCTCTTAATTATAGTATGCAGTAGGTGCTTGTAATTTTAACTCTTCAACATGTGTTTTGTGTTAATCAGCATGTACTTTCTGGTAAAGCTGATCTTGATTTTAAAGAACTGGTTTATTTCCTGAGTGGGATTTATCACTAGCAGCACATCCTGGACAGTGCAAGCTGCTATGGCAACTGACCTTGTGTCCTTTCGCTGACATGACCCTCCAATATCTAATCTTGTCACTCTGACATCATTTAACTCCTTTGTCCTTTTCAGAACAGAAATGACTCTCCATTGAGGTGTTCTCATGTGATTTTATTGTACACTGGAACTATAAAAAATCTAACATTTCTGCACAATTCTGATTATTGCCCCAAAAATAAAAGATCAATATTCAAAAATACAGGGTTTTAGCTGGCAAAATAAAGTTCAATTTATTAAGTTATTGGGAACTAAGGAAAGCTCCAACATAAACAGTTCGCATAACATGCCATGATTTGTTGTAACAATGTTTGTTAAATAACTATTCAGGAGAAACTCAGTTAATTGCTTTTTCATGTGACACCACATTCATTTATTATTAATAATATTTTCTTGAGCTTTTATTATATTATAATGCAATAACTATACATTTTTCTGTACAAATAATTACAAAAATGACTCTTTTACAGTATTCATAAGTATGTTGATCCAGTCAGAGCCATATAATCTAGAACATCCTCTTAAACTGTTGCAGAATTCAGATGTTTGAGCAGAAAAAAGGTTGTTATACAGACTCCCATTAACTGAATAGAGGTCATAATTGAATAAAAGGCATTTAATTATGACTCTCATGGTTTCAGTTAAATATTTGTTTATTAGATCCTGAAACTGTAAATATGACATTATGTTAACACCAATCTATACAGAAAACTTGAGTTCCAAATAGATAAGTTTAAAGTACAATTAATGAAATTACAGATGAGCATGTGTCCTTTATCACCCAATTACCAATTCAGTGATGAAGGACACACTGCATCTATTTAGTAGTAAAAGGCTTCTCAGTTAATGGCTCTAACTGCATTTCAAGTCATACCACTCTGTCAACAACAGGGGGCAACAAAAGCCCACAAAAACAATTAACTCTTGAGAGAAATAGACAAGATTTTACATAGCCCTCCTGTCCCATGCCTGTTATGTTAGGCTTACAGTACGGCTGCCAGGGTCGCTAAGGTGCATTTCTGAGTTTCTGAATACAGAAACAATTTACATAAACGATAAAGAACAGACACACAAATCCACACACATTAGAGAAATCCACTGAACTTTTAAAAATTGTCATATTTTCAACAACAAAAAAAAAAAAAAAATTAATGGTTTATTTGTTTCTGTTTTTATTCAGTTAGTTGAATAATAAACGGGATAAAAATAATTAATCTTAAAGTCGAGTTTATATTTCATATTATTGGCTCCTCTGACATGACTCTTTAGGAAAACTAAAATAGACATCCCCATACAGGTTGATGTATTCAAAATAAAGAACTTGTAAAAACAATAATTTAATCATACTACATACAACTATACCAAATCTGACTTGTGATGATATTGAAGTTTCACTGAAGGTGTTGAACCCATGTTTGGTCCCCTCCAGACTTATCTTTAGTCTGCTGAAACAAATGTCCGGTAAAGTTTCCTGGACCATATTTACATTGAAAGATACCATTTATTGTTTTTCTTTTTTTTTTCTTTCCTTTTTTAATGCCACTGTCTATTATCCCAGCAATTGTCATCTATTCAAAACAATATATAATCCTTTTTATGTCTTTTTTTTTGTTTTTTTAGCATTCACAGCTATGAAAAATGCGTGAGGCAAAGTGTTTCTTGTTCTGAACGAGAAGACTTTTAAGCTTGTTGCTAAAGTAAAATGTTCTTTGAATTGCTTCCAGTGCTACCACATGGATAATGCAAATTGAAGATCCAAACTGCTTTTTTTTCATGAAAAATAAACTATTATCTAATTAACTTCAAAAAATTATGTTATACTTGATAAGGCTGTATGCATATGTTTAAAATGAAAACATTGTGAAAAAATTCGAACTGTAGCTTGAACTTGCAGCAAACCCCTCAGGAGATTAGCTTTAATCATTGAAGTAAACTTTTTAAATTGAAGCCACATTCTTTACCTGCTTAAATTGAAATACAATAAAGACTTCTGTAACAGGTTTAATGTTTTTCACATTCAGGCTGGTCTGCATTCCATCATCTTTTTAAAAGCTTTCCTGAAGCTGTCGTCCAGAAAGGCATACAGGAATGGGTTGAGACAGGAGTTGGCGTAACTTAAGCTGGTTATGAAATAGGAGATCCCAATCACCAGAGGTGTGTTTTCCAGGTCTGTGGTCAATGCCACAATGGTGCTAAGGTGGAACGGTGTCCAACAAAACAAGCACACAGCCAAGACGATGAAGACCATAATGGTGACTTTCTTCTTGGCCTTGTCTAAAGCCTTGGCGTTGCTGTTTAGCCTCATGTTCCGCAACTTGTAGAGCATCATGGTGTACAAGATGCAGATTGTTGAGACTGGAATAGCAAAGCCCAGAATGAGTGTGTAGATACGACTCATTTTGTTCCACAAATTCTCAGGATCAGGTAACATCAGCACACAGCTCTTCCTTCCATCGTATGGATTCACATCGACACCGGCAAAAATGGTGAAGGGCATAACGATGAGGATCACAAGGAGCCAGACACAGAAAGAGATGATTTTAGCAGCTCTGTAGGTGCGGTATGGCATGCGCTTGGACCTTACTGTCGCCCAAACAACCAGATACCGATCAATGCTCATTACTGTCAGGAAATAGATGCTGGAGAATATGTTGTAGAAGTCTATACTTAGGGTAACTTTGCACAAAACTTCCCCGAAAGGCCAGTAGTTGAGCAGATGATTAGCAATGCTAATCGGCAACACTAGGGTAAACAAATCATCTGCAATTGCCAAGTTCAAGATGAACATGTTGGTTACTGTTTTCATTTTAGGAGCTTTGAGGATAACATATATGACAGCCATGTTGCCTGTTAGTCCCACAGCACAGATCACAGAATAGATGATTGGTAAAATGATGTACAGGTCACCGTGGAAGTAGTGAACGTAGTTCGAGTGGGTGTTGTTTCCCAGTGAAAGTGAGTAAAGATCCACAGAGTCATTATACACTGACAGCTCACCACTGGGAACAGACACGTTCTCCATGCTCTCCATGTTTCCACGGATATGAGAGCTTAGATTAAGGCTATATCAATAAGTCCATTTCAACAACGAACAAAAACTCATGAAAAATAGAAATGAATTTAAGCTTGATTTCTAACATCTTCCCTTATACATCTTTAATCATTTCCCTTCTTTAATCATAAAAAAAAATAAAAATAGCAGCAGAGAAGAAAAAAGGTCAGGTTAATGAAGGATCAGTCCTTTTTTCATCACTCAGGAGCAAGAGATTTAAGGCAAGTATTATGGGTAAAATTAGTCTGCTAATTTAAAGCCCATAATTTAATTTTTAAACCCAGTAAGATGTAGCTTACCTCCTTCTGAATAAAAAAATAGATGAAAAGTTATCTTAAAATATATTTTTTTAGTGCCCATTGTGTAAACGCTCTTCAAACATCCGACTTCAATTGTGTTGAGTTTACAGTCATTTATGATTCATTATCAATATTCCATTGGTTTTTGCTTGTTTTCTAATTTAAAAAAGATGGAAAATGCCTTCCCAATGTTCGATGCCTTTCTGTTCCTAGTTAAGTAAAGGTCCTCCAGCTCCTTTTCCCGTATCTTCTCTTTAGATTTTATGCAGTTTTCCATGCAGTAATTGTAGAATGCTTTGGAGACGTTGTGCGTTACGCACGAAGGGCGCATCGAGAAACCTACCGGGAGGAGATGTGGACAGGAATTAGTTGCCAGGAATGGCGAGATATAATAAACCACAATAAACGACAAGCACTTCTCCTATATTGCCTAGTGCAGAAATAGATTTTAAAGATTCAGATTTGGAGAAACAAACGTTGAACAAAACATAAACAGTACAGTGACCTTTTTTTTTTAAACGTGAAATTTATCACTCAGTTGGCGGTTAGAATTCATTCACTTCACACGTGTGTTACTACAAGAAATAAACCACAATAATAATAATAAAAAAAATGGTAATAACGTAGGCTGTGTTAATAAAGACCTTCCCGGAGGTCCTTAACTTTGATGAAGGTCGCCGCTCCATCCTATTATTTTAAAAGTGTCCTTATGAACTAGATGATCATGTATGAAGTATGGTGAGGAGAGTTTACCCTTGTGGTAGTCGATGGTGAAGTCCCTCCGTCAGGTCTGGAAGAGACGCGCTCCGTTCGGCTCCGGTCCTCCCCGCTCCGCTCTCCCTCTCTGCAAACGCGCTCCTGGAAGACTGCGCCTCCGCTGACGTCATTTCGAGATCCCAATGTCAATCATGCAGTTCCATCTGCCCAGCCGAGGCACTCTGCCTTCACGGTGTCCTGCGCAGGTCAAAGTGTGTTCCTTTCTTTTTTTCTTTTTGTTTCAGCCTGTGACTACAGACCCGTGGGCAGTAGATTCCTGTCCTCATGTCACCACCCTGTTTCCCCTCATCATGCATGACGGCCGCTGAGCTTTTCATCAGTCCATCAGTTCTCAAAATGAGATTTTTACTGACTTAATTTTCAAAACAGATGCAACTGGGGAAGAGTTTTTAGCAAAACGGAAGTGTTTATAGTAAATTAATCTGAATGTCATCCGAATCAGATCTGTTTCCAATTAACTAAAGCAAGCTAAAATTAAAACCATTAAGAGAAACTGCCCAAATTAGTCCTAATAGATTTCAGTACACATATTTGCTTGGACGGTGGGTTTGTAATTTGATTTCCCTAGCTGAATTAAATGGGGCTAAATTATCCCTAAAATACAAATATAATTCCTCACTTTTTAAGCCATTTAGTGAAACTTATATATATATATTATTATTATTATTATTATTATTTATCCTGAATGACTTTTCATTGGCAATGGCTTCATTGTTTGACATTCCCTCTCAAGCTGGAGTCTAATGGGGCATTAGAAAGAATTCAGATTGGCACCTACCAGGTGCTGCCACCAAATGATTGACGTGGCACAGCACCAGGTCACTCCCGTGTTTGCTATGCAGAGGAGGAAAAAATAAATAAAAACAACGGTCATGTAAAAGTACAAGCAAAGAACAGGCTTAAATCTGAGACAAATTGTCTTTCTCTGGGTTTCTTACGTAAGCAGAAATTTAGCCCCAAATTTAAGCTGTTTTGTAATTACTGTGATCTCGATTACTGAGAATCCAGTAATGGTAAAATATAAAATGTTACCTTCTTACAAGTGAAGTGCAAGATGTTACTGAAATTGTTATGAAAACTAACTCAATGAAATGGAACTTTAAGTAAAAGTTAGTTACATCTTCAAGTCAGGAAACCAATGTTTATTTATTCCCTATCATAAAAGAAAAGAAAAAAAATGGTCTCTGTTTATTTTCAAAGAAGCACCTCTAAAAGGAGAATTCACTACAAATTTTAAGTGTATACTCTGGTTAAGGGGGAACCAGACTATCACTATTTCACAAGGTTAAAAAATCCTTTAAAAAACTCCTATATCAGGATTATGATCTGGATTATCACCTAAATGTCATCAGAATCATAACCTTTCAAGTTATCCCGTGCGCACACAGATAGACAGAGAAACATACACATAAACTCTCCTAAAAGCATTACCATTGTGGAGGTAATTAATTGTACATTTGAGTTATGTAACTAAATTTCCATGCAGTATGCTTTGACCAAATTATAGAAAATGACCACAAATTATGTTTCTTTCATAGGAGATGCAAGACATCTTAAAAGTGGGTATGCACTTGCATTTTTAGTAGAAAATGTTGGATATCAGATGGTCTTCAATATATCTGGAAAAGTCAGATATGAAAAGAACACAATGCAAATTTGCCTAATGGCACTGAGACAAGACATTTTTTTTTTTATTTAACTTCATATTTCAGTGGTAAGACATTTTTAAGAACTGTAGATGAGATAAAAAAAAATTAAAAAGTACACTGCTGTGACATAGACGACACACATATAGTTGAAGAAAAATAAAAGTGAAACATTAGAATAATACAATTATAAAAAAGGATAAATTTACTGGTTGGTAAAAGGAAAAAAACAATAAGATTTAGAGATTTATTCGCTTAACATTCAAATAGTTTATTTAGCATATATTAACCTTATCAATACACATCCAACCCTCATCCAACTCATGTTCTCTAATCTACAGTGCCCCCCCTCTTGGTGCATTTTTCAAATATTAGATCTGGGCAGAGGAAAATGGGGAAAAGAGTCTTTAAATAAGTGCTGGGAAAGTATTATTTCCATGTGTTTCACTACTTAATGCACAATCAAGACTTAAAGCAGAAGAAAGCTCTGAACAAACATCTGGTAAATATTCCGTCATCCAGGTGATTGTCATTCCTAAAAAGTTAACAAACAATCCTTTGGACTTCGAAGTCTGAAGATGTTTCACTTCCCATCCAGGAAGCTTTTTCAATTCAAATTGTCAGAATTAGTGTTGAGGTCCAAGCTTTACAGAGTAGCCTGAAGTCTTTAACAAATCTTGAACACATTTTATTTAAGACTTTAGACTGCAATGGAAAGTTGCAGAGGAATGCATCTTTTTATATTTAAAGTTTACATTATATAATGTGGATTACTTCCTGCTAAATCACCCACCAGTCAAGGTGTTGAACAGGTCGGGTGTAATGAAAAAAATGACTTACAAACTTGAGATTACCAACCTTCATAAAGGGTCATAAATATACTTCCTAAAATGCAAACCTTAAATGAACAAAATTAGGAGCATGAATTATTGCAATACACAAAACAAATCAATAGTCCATATTGTATGCTCGTAATCTGCAGGCTGCTTACTTTTGTGATCCATGATATGTTTATAATAAGAAGCTCACTAACAGTTTTATATCCATCGTACTGTTGACCTTTTCCATTTACTTTTCCGATTATGAGTTTCTAGCTCCACTTTAATACGGCTGTGAGGATATTTTGATAGCCATAGGAAAGCAAGACCAGCAACTGTTTGTAACTTAAAGACGGAGTGGGTCTATAGTAGAGCTCACCACTGATGAATACATGTTTATGTAAAGACTGATTCTTTGAAATGATTAAAGCTGTTTAAACATTCAGTAAAAGGAACTCTTAACTTGGTAGGCTTTAAGTTTAAAAGCATGTTTAGTTGTGATATCCAATAATGACTGACAACAGAAATGGAGTCAGTGTTAAGCCACAATAGGTTCAGGTTGTGCTTGAGTTTCTCTCGGGTTATTGTTTCATTCATAGATCGTGGTGAAAAGGGCCTCAAGACACGTGACATTTTGAGGTTTGCTGACTATATCAGGACACATATAATTATTAGTTCAAGCAAGCCCCCTTTGTGTAATGAAACTCCTGATGGGTTTTAGCTGTGCTGAAAATGGGCTGTCCTTCAACAGGGGGAAAACCGTGAGACCATTGGTATGTCCCGTAAAAATTCAAAAAATATCAACTGGACTTGGTTTTCAAGATTTGAAGACGTTTCGCCACCTCTCCAGGAAGCTTTCTCAATTCAAATGTCTGGATCCGCAGTGAGTTTGAGTCTTATATGGACAAGGCCTTGTATTGCTTGGAAACATACAAATTGGTATGGTTATCATAGTGTCTAATAAGATGGAATACTACAGCAGATGTTTCCATTTCATGTGATGTACATCCTGTGAAAGGGTATTGTTTAATTAAAGCTTCTCTTGGATCTTCTTACTAATTCAGCTTGCAAAATACATGAAAAAAAATGCAATCGTTGGTTTGCATTTACTTCATCATATTCAGTTACTTTAACACAATTGTTTCATGTTAGCAGGGTAGGACATGAAAAATTGTGTTAAAGTAACTAAATATGATTTAGTAAATGCCAAAAGCAGTTGCATTATTTTTTCAGAGATTCTAATGTTTCCTTGCCACTAATCTGAACTATAATTAAACCTGTAAAAATGTCCTTACACTCTAAAATCACAGAAAGCACCTAATTTTTAAGGCAATCTGAAAAGAAGTTCATTTATATTTCTGTTACCAAAAAAAGTGGTTTTGACAGGATGCTTAAAAACACAATTAATGTTAACTATGAGGTAAACAAGAGACAAAATTAGATAATATGAAAATCAGTTTTACATATGGAGAAAAGTTAACAGATAAAAGTAGAATTTACATAGACTGCACCAAATATTATGTACATCATGAGTGCTATCAACCCAGGTATTGCTGATTAGCTCAAAACAGGTTGTGGTTCCTGTGCAGGCTTTCTAA